TGTGTGTGTGTGTGTGTGTGTGTGTGTGTGTGTGTGTGTGTGTGTGAGAGAGAGAGAGAGAGGGAGGGAGGGAGGGAGGGAGGGAGAGATTGTGATGTGGAAGGGGCCCTGCATGTGAGAAAGGCCTCAAAGCCCCCCCCCCAGCTGAAGCGGGGCCTCCGTCAACCTCAGGGACGTGGAGACGGTCGTAAGGAAGGCCTCCCTGAGGTCGTTTCTGCCGGGGGGGGGGGGGGCTGAAGCCAGGGGGGCTAAGAGCCAAGGAGCGTACTCTTTTCACAGAAGAAAATGACATTATTGGCCACCCTGTTTAGTTGCCATTCAAAGTCGTTCTGGTGTGGAAAAAGCCACTTGTGTGCTTCACAGGCATCTTTCAACAAATAGAGTCAGTGGAGAAACCAGCAGTGATATTGCAACTTCAGTCACGTGATGTCTCACTTAACAACCATGGTACTTAGCAAAATAATTTCTGGTCCCAGTTGTGGTCACTAAATGAGGACTACCCACGCCTGTTAATTTTCTTAAATAAACGATTGCATAGTCAATTTTTCATAGGTTTTTTTCCCAATTACATCACTTCTATATACCATTCAAATGAAAATAAAAAACTGATTTCTTCCCACATGTTAATGAACGAAGGGTTTACATGGGTTATACTTATTTTTTCATAGGAGAATAAATAAAAACCACACACAATAAACAAAAGATGTTTAACCCGACGTGGGACTAGTTTGCCAACCTCATTCAGCTGGCGTCTCTCCTGACCCCGTTCCCCCAGGGCTGCCTGGTCTCCCTGCTGGATAACTGGCCTTTCCCAAGCTGCCCAGATGGCAGTGGGGGTCTTACAGTCTGGGCAAGAGAAAAACAGCATTTGGGGCATTCGGCCCTGAGATCTGGCATGTCCTTTTAAATCGCTCTTTGCAGGGGGACAAACAGGGCTGTGCTTTGGGGCTCCCCCCCCCCCCCCAGCGTTGACTGGTTTTTAGTCTCAGCCTGATTTCCCGGGAAGGCCTGTTTAACTGAAGTCTGGGGCTACTTTGGCTTACAGCTAACCACCACCTGCCAGGCTGGGGTATTTTAGCGTGCGCACAACATCTCGGGCATAACAAGGCCTTTCATGCAAACGCAAGCTCTCACGAGCCTCCAGCAGGGGTGTTAGGGGGGTGGCAAAATTAAGACGTGGTGGCGGCTGGTTAGGCTCTCGCCCTGGAGGATCCAAGGAGAACCAAATCCGATGTTTTAGTTTATCTTAAACCAAAATAGATAATTTTCTACTTCTGTCTCAGTATCGGTTGTGGGGATCTTAAGGATAAGATCTTGGAGTTACAGATCCAAGGAAAGCCCTGGAAAAGGGCCTTTCCTTCTCAGAAGGTACCATCCTTAGACCCAGATCCTTGGGTCTTCAGGCTGAAACCCCACGGCGAGAGGCAGCGCACCATCATCTGATCACAGAATTGGGCAGGACCCCACAGGTCCTCCCATTCCTTGCTCAGTGCAGGATTCTGCTGCCCACCTGCAGAATCAGCTGTGCAAGAGGCTCCCCCAAGGCTGTCATAGAAACCAGCATCTTCACCAGGAAAAGCTCGGTTATTATCCACACCCATTGAAGGAGGGAGATGCACTGAATAAAAATATTTAGTCCCCCGAAGTCGGAGGAAACTACATTTGGCTCAGCAATTCAGGCAGAGGCTGGAGAGTCATGGATGGCTCTGCTGTCAGGTGGATTCTGGCATCGAAGCTGGGGCTGAATTCAGGGACCAACCCCCAAACCCCACCCCGGCTTCTTCCCACTCGGATCCTGAAAAAAGGGTTCTGCAGCCTGACTTCGTGGAGCCTCCATCACTCAGACGGCTGGCATCTCAGAAGGCTTTATAGCCTTGTAAATGCTCTGTTTGCCTCTCCTAGTTCTGGACAAGCTGAACTTTCTATAGGCTTAACAGTACAATTCAAAAGATAAGAAGGGAGAGCCCGGGTGGCTGAGAGATAACAGACGGTAAACCATGGCCCACCCTAGGCAGAGGTCGGTTTGCCAAACTGCCCAGCAAGTCTTACCCGGAAAACCTCGGTGTGGTCCAGCCGAGACACGAGCACCAAACTCTTTGGGGCAAAGAGCTGCAAGGGATGGACGAGCGCGCTCACCTCCAGCTCCTCCACTTCCTCCTTCCTCCAGCGGTTCTGCAGCTGCTGGAGGGGAAAGGAGTGGTTACCTAAGCCTGCTGGCTGAGCTGCCCACCGGGGACCGGTGCAGGTGGAGACCTATTCCATCTTCAGTGGAGATCCTTGCCTCAAACGGGGTTCAAGAGGAAAGGCCTCTCTTTACCTGGACGCTTTCAATGGCCTCCCAAAAGGTGAAGCAGGCACAGTAATGGCGCTCCGAGTTGATGTCAGTCAGGACGGCAATGAAGAACGTGGGAGGGTTTCTCTCCTTGAAAAGCTGCCATCCGCTTGGCTGGCAAAACTGCAGGAGGAGACATCATCGTTAGGGCAGCCCCCCCAGTTCTGTCTCTGAAAGCTGGCTCTCCCGCCACAGCAAAGGAGAGCCAGGATCCCTCTCCCTCCACCTGGGGGCCCCCCACCTGACTGCAGAGAAGGAATCCTTCCTTTGGCAAGGAAAGGGTGGCCCCAAAGCCTCGAGCAAGGGACCTCTCCCCTCCCATCACCACTGAACGGCATTAGCCCCTAAGGAAAGAGGGGAGGCAGCACAGTGCATTGCAGCCCAATCCACGGGGCCCATCCAGACCATGCCTCTGACAGCAGGTCAAGCAGGCCAGGAATGGAGCCACGATGGTGCAGTGGCTAGAATAGAGGATTGCAGGAAAACTCTGCCCACAGCCTGCAGTTTGACCCTGACTGGGCTCAAGGTTGACTCAGCCTTCCACCCTTCCGAGGTCGGTAAAATGAGGGCAAATAATGCAGATACTGTAAACCGCCCAGAGAATGGGATAAAGCACTACTGTACGGCAGTATATACCCTGTTTTCCCAAAAATAAGACCTCCCCAAATAATAAGCCCAATGAGGCTTTTGAGTGCATGCAGTAAAATAAGCCCTTCCCTGAAAATAAGCCCTCCCCAAAAATATTGCAACACAGCAGCAGCAGCAGCCATGAGGAGATCACATTCGCCGCCTCCTGCACCTCAAAAATAATAAGACCTCCCTGAAAATAAGGGCAAGTGCTTATTTCAGGGATCAAAAGAAAATAAGACCCTGTCTTAATTTCAGGAAAACACGGTAAGTCTAAGCACCATTGCGATTGCTACGTCCTTCATCCCACTCTTGCTGGAAACCATCCAATGTCGCTTCCATCCTGTGCCCAGGCCTCCATCCTAAAAAGGGCCCCCCTGTTCACAAAAGGGGGGGGGCAGGGCAGTCAAGCACTGAAGGGAAATTTCCCAATATGGTGGGTCCAGCGATGTTTGGGGCCGTGGGGACCAAGAGCTCCTTAAGAGACGAAGGGACAACACGCGCACACACACACACACACGGCAGCTCTAGTTAGCCAGGAGGGGCAGGCAGCCCACCCGCAATCCACTTCCTCAGGCCCAATAGGTTCCCCTTGTCACCTATCTCTGCCTTGGGCTGATGTCTGCAGCCGTCTGGGTGGGGAGAACCAGGGTTCACCTTAACTAGAACAGGAAAGAATATTTGGGGGGGGGGGTGTTACAGTCACGTTTCCCCCGGCCGTTCTAAAGATGCTCCGCCTTAAGCTTGGGCTGGAGAGTTGCCCTTCCCCAGACAGAAAGGGTGTGCTCTGCCAGGGGGCTCCCCTGGAGCCTTGAGGGGCTGCCACGGAGAAGAGGGGACTGGCTTACTCCTCAGAGCACCTCAGAGCACAGGACGAGAAGGAGGGGGTGACAGTCCATTAAAGAGAGATCCAACCTGAAAGGAAGGAGGAATGGATCCTTCCTCCAGGAGTCTCCACCTGCCCTATTGGGCCTGGAGGAAGGGCTATGCTATGGTACCTATCGACTGCGGGGCCCAGGAAACCTGCCTCTCCTGCTGCAACACCTTCCTCTAGAACCCCTGGGCAGGGAGGGAGGGAGAGAGAAGATGGGCCTGGGGAGGCTGGCCTTCCTTCTGGAGAGTGCTGGAAACTCAGCCAAGTTCATGAAGCCCAGCTGGGTTGATGTCCCTTTATCCGGCTTTACTTATGCTGCCGGGGGGGCTGGTGGTGGTGGTTGGCGGTTGCTTTCTGATTTGAACTATATACACTTAGCAGTGCTGTGAAGCTGGCCGGGGTTCCTATCGGCTTCTGTTGATACCATGTGACCTTCTGGAGTGGAAGGAATAGCGATCCAGATCTAAACAAAAGCAACCCCAAATACGCTCTACCTCCCATGGTCCTTTGCTCTTCCTTGATCCCGGGCAGCAGCCTACTCACCAGTTCGATCCCCTGGGGGAAAGGGTTGTCCTCCCAGTCCTTCTCTGGAAACCGCTGGAGTATTTGGCCCTGGCCGTCTCTGCTGCCTGCAAAGGAAAGCAGCGGTTTTAGCTCCTTCCTGGACTTGCACCGGACGGAGGCCCCCCCTCTAGCAACTCCTCCCGCCTAACTGAAAGAGAAGAAACGATCACCCGATCTGACAAGAGGATAAAACCTCACATTATAAGAGTCCCAGTGATTTAGTCACTACAGATTTAGTCCTTGACTTACAACAGTCAATCGAGTGACCTAAAGCGACTTAGGATCATTTTTCACACAACCGCTGCTTCCTCCCTCCCTCCCCCCCCCCACTCACATGATCAACTTCTATAGGAAGAGCATCAATGGACGTCAAACTGTAACTTAAACAAGTATTTGTTGGACCCACTACATTTACATAGAGAAGGATTGCTTAAGACGGCATTTTATGGGAAAGATAATAAGAATACTATGCTTTACTGGACAACGTAAATGAATACACCAGGCCCCAACTATGGCCTGGTAACTTAACCAGGCCTTGAAGAACTTCCGAAACGTCAACCATAATCAAGGTGGCCCAATGTCAGGAGGGAGACTACTTTATAAGGCAGGCAACACACAGCTTCTGGCACCCTCAAATGCAGGAAGGCCCTTGGCAGGTGGCATCCAGGCATGCCCCCTCCTTTCCGCAGATGTAATGAACGGGGGGGGGGGGGGAGCTCAACCCAACGAATGGCCAAGGAGTTGGCTACTACAGCTTGAGATGTTGAGCATCCGCAGAGAGACCAGGACGGAGTCAGGAGGTCATCATAGTGGTGACTGCCGAGGACATGGGAAGCCAAGAAGGAACACGGGGCAAAGTGATTCAGGCAGATCTCCCCTTGGCCTTCTTTCCTCTCTTCCCTCCACTCGCTTCATAGGCAGAAGAAACCCATTCCTTCCCATTTCCCTTTGATTATTGCACATCCAGCATGAAGATATAAGGTGGCCCCATTCTTTTTTCTTTTTTTACAATGCATGGATTCTTCAATACCCCAAGGGACCTTTTAAGGCTCTCCTAATATAGGCCCTGTATTCAGCAGGAACCACCTCGTAGGCCGACTCCACTCCCTTTTAATTAGCTGCTTTGCCTTCTCAAACTGGGCCCCCATCTGAAATAAAACGATGGCAGCCGGGGAGGTGGGGACCCCTGCCTTACAGGAATCATTTCTGGGAAGAAGTTCCACATTGCAAGATTGGATTTATTATTACATTTATATGCCGCCCTTTCCCCCGAAGGGGACTCAGATACACAGTGTTTTCTAGGCAAGATACACCTAGAAAACACTGCGATGTGGGCAGAGCTGTGATTATTTTAATAGTAGTGGTTTTTCTTCAGGTTGTGCTGTACTCAAAGTACAGTAACAAAATTTGATTATGAAATAGGAACAAAAAGCCCCCCCCCACGTTAATTTAGCTCTGCTGAGGCAGCTTTGACTTCCATTTGCCCCGTTTATTGAAATCTGGAGCAGGATGTGTCCAGCGGCAACTCTCACCACTAGGCCGCCTCCTCCAGGGCTGGGGCCACAGCCCCTCTCCGCAGGGAAGAGCGGTTAAACCGCCGCTTGAGCTTCTCCCCCTGCCTTGGGCCAAAGCCCAGAAGAAGGTCAGCCGCGGGTGACCGGCTAAGCTGGGGACTGGCTATATGGGAAGCACCTCTTCTGCTCCACGGGATTATTTTAGGCAGCCAGACTCCATCCACCAGCCCAGCAGCAGCTCTATTTAAGGCACAGCCGCAGATGGAAAAAGGGAAAGCCACACAGCCACACAAGCCCTCTGCAGGCACCCTGGCAGGGCCTTCCCGCCTGGCCCTTCCCAAGCACAGCCAACTCACATCCCCATGGCAAGCCCTACCTACTGATTAGGCTGACTGAATATATATATATATATATATATATATATATATATATATATATATATATATA